CTCAATCAGACAGGATGAGTTCTCATTCATCACGGTCGCGTCCCCTCAGTTGTGATGTTTCAGAATCCAAGAGGAGAAGGAGGAAGATCTCTAATGTAACTTTATTTTAGCTGAATCCTTGTGTTTCAATGTGTGTCTACCGCTGCTTGGGTATTGGTCCCTGGTGTGTACTGGTGCTGGTGTGTACTGGTGCTGGTGTGTACTGGTCCCTGGTGTGTACTGGTCCCTGGTGTGTACTGGTGCTGGTGTATATGGTGCCTGGTGTGTATTGGTGCCTGGTGTGTACTGGTGCCTGGTGTGCACTGGTGCTGGTGTGTACTGGTGCCTGGTGTGTACTGGTGCTGGTGTGTATTGGTCCCTGGTGTGTACTGGTGCCTGGTGTGTATTGGTGCCTGGTGTGTACTGGTGCTGGTGTATATGGTGCCTGGTGTGTACTGGTGCCTGGTGTGTACTGGTGCCAGGTGTGTACTGGTGCCAGGTGTGTACTGGTGCCTGGTGTGTATTGGTGCCTGGTGTGTACTGGTGCCTGGTGTGTACTGGTGCTGGTGTACTCACCTAGTTGTACTCACCTAGTTGTGTTTGCGGGGGTTGAGCTCTGGCTCTTTGGTCCCGCCTCTCAACCGTCAATCAACAGGTGTACAGATTCCTGAGCCTATCGGGCTCTGTCATATCTACACTTGAAACTGTGTATGGAGTCAGCCTCCACCACATCACCCCCTAATGCATTCCATTTGTCAACCACTCTGACACTAAAAAAGTTCTTTCTAATATCTCTGTGGCTCATTTGGGCACTCAGTTTCCACCTGTGTCCCCGTGTGCGTGTTCCCCTTGTGTTAAATAGACTGTCTTTATCTACCCTATCAATCCCCTTCAGAATCTTGAATGTGGTGATCATGTCCCCCCTAACTCTTCTGTCTTCCAGCGAAGTGAGGTTTAATTCCCGTAGTCTCTCCTCGTAGCTCATACCTCTCAGCTCGGGTACTAGTCTGGTGGCAAACCTTTGAACCTTTTCCAGTTTAGTCTTATCCTTGACTAGATATGGACTCCATGCTGGGGCTGCATACTCCAGGATTGGCCTGACATATGTGGTATACAAAGTTCTGAATGATTCTTTACACAAGTTTCTGAATGCCGTTCGTATGTTGGCCAGCCTGGCATATGCCGCTGATGTTATCCGCTTGATATGTGCTGCAGGAGACAGGTCTGGCGTGATATCAACCCCCAAGTCTTTTTCCTTCTCTGACTCCTGAAGAATTTCCTCTCCCAGATGATACCTTGTATCTGGCCTCCTGCTCCCTACACCTATCTTCATTACATTACATTTGGTTGGGTTAAACTCTAACAACCATTTGTTCGACCATTCCTTCAGCTTGTCTAGGTCTTCTTGAAGCCTCAAACAGTCCTCTTCTGTTTTAATCCTTCTCATAATTTTAGCATCGTCCGCAAACATTGAGAGAAATGAATCGATACCCTCCGGGAGATCATTTACATATATCAGAAACAAGATAGGACCGAGTACAGAGCCCTGTGGGACTCCACTGGTGACTTCACGCCAATCGGAGGTCTCACCCCTCACCGTAACTCTCTGCTTCCTATTGCTTAGATACTCCCTTATCCACTGGAGCACCTTACCAGCTACACCTGCCTGTCTCTCCAGCTTATGTACCAGCCTCTTATGCGGTACTGTGTCAAAGGCTTTCCGACAATCCAAGAAAATGCAGTCCGCCCAGCCCTCTCTTTCTTGCTTAATCTGTGTCACCTGATCGTAGAATTCTATCAAGCCTGTAAGGCAAGATTTACCCTCCCTGAATCCATGTTGGCGATTTGTCACGAAGTCCCTTCTCTCCAGATGTGTTACCAGGTTTTTTCTCACGATCTTCTCCATCACCTTGCATGGTATACAAGTCAAGGACACTGGCCTGTAGTTCAGTGCCTCTTGTCTGTCGCCCTTTTTGTATATTGGGACCACATTCGCCGTCTTCCATATTTCTGGTAGGTCTCCCGTCTCTAGTGATTTACTATACACTATGGAGAGTGGCAAGCAAAGTGCCTCTGCACACTCTTTCAGTACCCATGGTGAGATCCCATCTGGACCAACCGCCTTTCTAACATCCAGATCCAGCAGGTGTCTCTTGACCTCCTCTCTCGTAATTTCGAACTCCTCCAAGGCCGCCTGGTTTACCTCCCTTTCTCCTAGCACAGTGACCTCACCCTGTTCTATTGTGAAGACCTCCTGGAACCTCTTGTTGAGTTCCTCACACACCTCTCTGTCATTCTCTGTATGTATATGGTGCCTGGTGTGTACTGGTGCCTAGTGTGTACTGGTGCCAGGTGTGTACTGGTGCCAGGTGTGTACTGGTGCCTGGTGTGTATTGGTGCCTGGTGTGCACTGGTGCCTGGTGTGTACTGGTGCCTGGTGTGCACTGGTGCTGGTGTGTACTGGTGCCTGGTGTGTACTGGTGCTGGTGTGTACTTGTGCCTGGTGTGCACTGGTGCCTGGTGTGCACTGGTGCCTGGTGTGTACTGGTGCCTGGTGTGCACTGGTGCCTGGTGTGTACTGGTGCTGGTGTGTACTGGTGCTGGTGTGTACTGGTGCCTGGTGTGCACTGGTGCCTGGTGTGCACTGGTGCCTGGTGTGCACTGGTGCCTGGTGTGTACTGGTGCTGGTGTGTACTGGTGCCTGGTGTGCACTGATGCCTGGTGTGTACTGGTGCCTGGTGTGCACTGGTGCTGGTGTGTACTGGTGCCTGGTGTGCACTGGTGCTGGTGTGTACTGGTGCTGGTGTGTATTGGTGCCTGGTGTGTACTGGTGCCTGGTGTGTACTGGTGCCTGGTGTGTACTGGTGCCTGGTGTGTACTGGTGCTGGTGTGTACTGGTGCCTGGTGTGTACTGGTGCCTGGTGTGTACTGGTGCCTGGTGTGTACTGGTGCCGGTGTATACTGGTGCCTGGTGTGTACTGGTGCCTGGTGTGTACTGGTGCTGGTGTGTACTGGTGCCTGGTGTGTACTGGTGCCTGGTGTGTACTGGTGCTGGTGTGTACTGGTGCTGGTGTGTACTGGTGACTGGTGTATACTGGTCCCTGGTGTGTACTGGCCCCTGGTGTGTACTGGTCCCTGGTGTGCACTGGTGCTGGTGTGTACTGGTCCCTGGTGTGTACTGGTGCCTGGTGTATACTGGTGCCTGGTGTGTACTGGTGCTGGTGTGTACTGGTCCCTGGTGTGTACTGGTGCCTGGTGTGTACTGGTGCCTGGTGTGTACTGGTGCCTGGTGTGTACTGGTGCTGGTGTGTACTGGTGCCTGGTGTGTATTGGTGCCTGGTGTGTACTGGTGCCTGGTGTGTACTGGTGCCTGGTGTGTACTGGTGCCTGGTGTGTACTGGTGCTGGTGTGTACTGGTGCCTGGTGTGTACTGGTGCTGGTGTGTACTGGTGCTGGTGTGTATTGGTGCCTGGTGTGCACTGGTGCTGGTGTGTACTGGTGTCTGGTGTGTACTGGTGCCTGGTGTGTACTGGTACCTGGTGTGTATTGGTGCCTGGTGTGTACTGGTGCTGGTGTGTACTGGTCCCTGGTGTGTACTGGTGCCTGGTGTGTACTGGTGCCTGGTGTGTACTGGTGCCTGGTGTGTACTGGTGCCTGGTGTGTACTGGTGCCTGGTGTGTATTGGTGCCTGGTGTGTACTGGTGCCTGGTGTGTACTGGTGCCTGGTGTGTATTGGTGCCTGGTGTATACTGGTCCCTGGTGTGTACTGGTGCTGGTGTGTACTGGTGCTGGTGTATATGGTGCCTGGTGTGTACTGGTGCTGGTGTGTACTGGTGCCTGGTGTGTACTGGTGCCTGGTGTGTACTGGTGCTGGTGTGTACTGATGCCTGGTGTGTACTGGTCCCTGGTGTGTACTGGTGCTGGTGTGAACTGGTGCCTGGTGTGTACTGGTCCCTGGTGTGCACTGGTGCCTGGTGTGTACTGGCCCCTGGTGTGTACTGGCCCCTGGTGTGTACTGGTGCCTGGTGTGTACTGGTGCCTGGTGTACTGGTACTGGTCGCGCCGTGACATAGGGCTGAAGCATTGACAAATTGCCTCCATTAGTTAAAGAGTAGGTTTGACAATATGGAAGTATGACATGTAAGGAGATATGTTGAACTCCATTCCTTTCCTTAAACCCTCTCTCTCTCTCTCTCTCTCTCTCTCTCTCTCTCTCTCTCTCTCTCTCTCTCTCTCTCTCTCTCTCTCTCTCTCTCTCTCTCTCTCTCTCTCTCGCTTCCCAATTAATAATATTAGAACCTTCACACGTACTTGCCCATCAGTGTGTCTGTCGATCTGAATGTAAGTGAGGGGTAAAGAGTGCGGAGAGGGGCAGCAGACTATGGTGACCCCTCTGTGGTGAGGGGTGGTGGTGAGGGGAGGTGGTAGTTGTGGTGGTGAGGGGAGGTGGTAGTGTGGCCAGAAGGAGAGGACACCACCAGAGGGGAGACTCGTCTCACATTACCCCTCACGCTCCTAAAACAGTGTTATTGAAACTTTGGATATGAAGGCACACGCTGCCTCCCCAATAGGAAGAAAACCCGCTGTTCATCCTGTAAGATATCTATTGTAGATAGAGAGCCGGTCGGCCGAGAGGATAGCACACTGGACTTGTGATCCTGTGGTCCTGGGTTCGATCCCAGGCGCCGGCGAGAAACATTGGGCAGAGTTTCTTTCACCCTATGCCCCTGTTACCTAGCAGTAAAATAGGAACCTGGGTGTTAGTCAGCTGTCACGGGCTGCTCCCTGGGGTTGGAGGCCTGGTCGACCCGATATACTAATCTAGTTGTATTTGTGCGGGATGAGTCACGGCTCTTGGGTCCCGCCTCTCACCTCTTAATCGGCGGGTTTATGGGCTCCAAGACCGGTGTACATAGATGTGAGTAATATACCTGGCTCCCCACACCTTAGGTGTGAGTAATACACCTGGCTTCTCACACCTCACTTAAACAGCTCACCTATTTTGACATGTATATTCTCAGAGTACGGCTAGCACGACACCAGCTGTCAGTCAAGCTCTACGCCAGCTGTCAGTCAAGCTCTACGCCAGCTGTCAATCAAGCACGACGCCAGCTGTCAGTCAAGCTCTACGCCAGCTGTCAGTCAAGCACGACGCCAGCTGTCAGTCAAGCACGACGCCAGCTGTCAAGCACGACGCCAGCTGTCAGTCAAGCTCTACGCCAGCTGTCAGTCAAGCTCTACGCCAGCTGTCAGTCAAGCACGACGCCAGCTGTCAGTCAAGTTCTACGCCAGCTGTCAGTCAAGCACGACGCCAGCTGTCAGTCAAGCACGACGCCAGCTGTCAAGCACGACACCAGCTGTCAGTCAAGCTCTACGCCAGCTGTCAGTCAAGCACGACGCCAGCTGTCAAGCACGACACCAGCTGTCAATCAAGCATGACGCCAGCTGTCAGTCAAGCTCTACGCCAGCTGTCAGTCAAGCACGACGCCAGCTGTCAAGCACGACACCAGCTGTCAATCAAGCATGACGCCAGCTGTCAGTCAAGCTCTACGCCAGCTGTCAGTCAAGCACGACGCCAGCCTTCTGTTCTTCAGTCGAGCTGATCGCCACCACACAAACACAAACCCAGTCAAAGTGCCTATTTTTTTTATAAGTTCCTCCCCCTAGGTGGCGTCTGTCTCTTAAGTGGTAGGTGGTGGTGGTGGCCGCCACCTCCTGCCCGTTGTCTGTGGTGTAAGTGGGTGGTTATAGCCACTATCCACCTCCTCCCCCACTAACCAGCAATCGAGTCGACAAAGAGGAGTTGTATTCCGTGCTGGCTCCGCCCTCTGGGGGCCCCCCCTGGCATATATCAACCTCGTCCTCCTCCTCCCTTGCTACTTATTTCTTAATTTCAACATTTGTTATGTATACATTTTTGTTTTTGGACGAAGGGTGAGTTCATTGACAGCGGCACTCGTCGTGTGAGTGGACACATCGCTATGGTGATAGTATTGGGGGTAGTGGCACTCATCCTGTGAGTGGACACATCGCTATGGTGATAGTATTGGGGGTAGTGGCACTCATCCTGTGAGTGGACACATCGCTATGGTGATAGTATTGGGGGTAGAGGCACTCATCCTGTGAGTGGACACATCGCTATGGTGAGAGTATTGGGGGTAGTGGCACTCATCCTGTGAGTGGACACATCGCTATGGTGATAGTATTGGGGGTAGTGGCACTCATCCTGTGAGTGGACACATCGCTATGGTGATAGTATTGGGGGTAGTGGCACTCATCCTGTGAGTGGACACATCGCTATGGTGATAGTATTGGGGTAGTGGCACTCATCCTGTGAGTGGATTTATCATTATTATTCAATGCATAACATCCTACCGAAGAGTAAGACAACCCACTAGTTTGTTCATCCTGTCACTTGTACCCAGCCGCCGCTGGAACAATGTATTGAACAAAATAGGGTTTTCCTAACTCAAACACTTGCCGGGTGGGGTTAAATATACACATATTTCTAAATGCCACTTAGATGGGCACTGTCACTTAAGTGGTGGTCAAGATGATGTCCACCTCTCTTACCACAGATCCTGCAACTCGTTCCCATCTAGACTCAAAATGGGTACTTGTATCCAGAGGGAATGTTAAATTTTGCCCCGAGGGGCGAGTTTATTGGGCAGCGCCACTCATCTTGTGAGTGGACACACCGCCATAGCAGCATGTACAACACTCCCCAATAGGAAGAAAACCCGCTGGGTTGTTCATCCTGTCAGACCCAGAGGGAATTATTCTTGTTGTTACAGATTCTCTAGCGTGGCTAAATGCCTTCTATTGTATCCGTAATGATTAAGGGTTTCTTTTCGGGGTGAAACTACACTTTGGGCAGTGTACAGAGTCACTGACTTTGCTGTCATTCCTTAGTTACCTTGTCACGATGTTGTTGGTTGGTGGTGATGCCTCGAATTGGTTGAAGAGTCTTAATGTGGATGAAGTATTCAATATGATCTCCTTGAGTGCTCTCAGCAGTCAGTACATCAACTCGTTCATTACCACAGATCCCAAGGTGGAAACTCGATCATCCTTCCTTGCTTCAAGCGACTGTTGTTCCTTGCAGTCCTTGCAGTCCTTATTCTAAGACTTTGTTGTATGTCTTGAGTCGGAGTAGATCGCTCCCTCTTGTATTTCTAGCTATCTTTATGCCATAACAAAGACAGCTCTATAAATGGTGTGAATACTCTGTGTCGATGTAAATAGAATGGCAACTCTGTTTATGTTAAGGAGTCATAGTTCTCAATTCATTTTTGTCTTGGATTGAGACAAGGACTGCTGAAGAAAACAAATTAGAAACTTAGCTTTACTCTCGCTGCTTCAGCAGTCCTTCTGTTGGCAGGATTAGTAGATCCATTACTTAAGCATACCTTCCTTGAGAGGGGTGGTACGAAATTCTTTGTTCATTGTACTTGAATCACCTCAGATGTGAGTAATATACCTGGCTCCCTGTACCTTGAAGAAAAAGGTTACCCTCGAAGAAGGTTACCCTCGAAGAAGACTTAGGCTTTCCTTTGGATGAGAGAGCTTTCAATCTATGCCAGTAGTTCCCCTTGACAGTCATGCATGCCAGCTCACCTGGGGTAGTAATTACCTGTGCCTAATCAGTGGCTCCTAGGCAAAGGCACACAGGAGCACAGCTATGTTATAGGGTAAATAATTGTTTAGCGTCCTTCGCCCTAATCTACCTAGTTATGTGGTAGTACAGCGTCTACTAATCTACCTAGTTATGTGGTAGTACAGCGTCTACTAATCTACCTAGTTATGTGGTAGTGAAGCGTCTACTAATCTACCTAGTTATGTGGTAGTGAAGCGTCTACTAATCTACCTAGTTATGTGGGAGTACAGCGTCTACTAATCTACCTAGTTATGTGGTAGTACAGCGTCTACTAATCTACCTAGTTATGTGGTAGTGAAGCGTCTACTAATCTACCTAGTTATGTGGTAGTGAAGCGTCTACTAATCTACCTAGTTATGTGGTAGTGAAGCGTCTACTAATCTACCTAGTTATGTGGTAGTGAAGCGTCTACTAATCTACCTAGTTATGTGGTAGTGAAGCGTCTACTAATCTACCTAGTTATGTGGTAGTGAAGCGTCTACTAATCTACCTAGTTATGTGGTAGTGAAGCGTCTACTAATCTACCTAGTTATGTGGTAGTACAGCGTCTACTAATCTACCTAGTTAAGTGGTAGTACAGCGTCTACTAATCTACCTAGTTAAGTGGTAGTACAGCGTCTACTAATCTACCTAGTTATGTGGTAGTGCAGCGTCTACTAATCTACCTAGTTATGTGGTAGTGAAGCGTCTACTACCGTCTACTTTCCACGCGTGTATGTGTGTGTGTGTGTGTGTGTGTGTGTGTGTGTGTGTGTGTGTGTGTGTGTGTGTGTGTGTGTGTGTGTACAATCTACTACCTTCTACCCTCAGCTGTACACAATCCCCTTCACCTCGTTCGTCCCTTCACACCTCATCCACTCCCTTCAACACGTTCTTCCCTTCCTCGATCACACCCTCAACTCCTTCAATTCTCTCAACGGATCATCCACAACTTTCACACATCAACTCTCACAAAATCTATTTTCCATCCCACACCCCCTGTCCCTGTCCCTTCACCTCCCTCCTATCCCCATTTCCCCCACACCAATAACCAGCTAACCAACCTACGCCCAATGTATCCAAACTCCCCCTTCCACAGTCCCCTTAGGGGTGCTTCCACTGGGGTGCTGCCACACTAAATCACCGCGCTATCTCAACTGGCATCTTTACGTCAAGTATTAAGGAAATTGAGGTCTTTGGCTTCGTCTTGAAACAGTACCAAATTGTCCGCCCATTGTCAAGCGTCAAGAATTACGCCTGTCCGCGTACAGCGTGGTGTGTGTGTGTGTGTGTGTGTGTGTGTGTGTGTGTGTGTGTGTGTGTGTGTGTGTGTGTGTGTCTGTGTGTGTGTGTACTCACCTAATTGTGCTCACCTAATTGTGCTTGCGGGGGTTGAGCTCTGGCTCTTTGGTCCCGCCTCTCAACCGTCAATCAACTGGTGTACAGATTCCTGAGCCTATTGGGCTCTATCATATCTACATTTGAAACTGTGAATGGAGTCAGCCTCCACCACATCACTTCCTAATGCATTCCATTTGCTAACTACTCTGACACTGAAAAAGTTCTTTCTAACGTCTCTGTGGCTCATTTGGGTACTCAGCTTCCACCTGTGTCCCCTTGTTCGCGTCCCACCAGTGTTGAAAAGTTCGTCCTTGTTTACCCGGTCGATTCCCCTGAGGATTTTGTAGGTTGTGATCATGTCCCCCCTTACTCTTCTGTCTTCCAGTGTCGTGAGGTGCATTTCCCGCAGCCTTTCCTCATAACTCATGCCTCTTAGTTCTGGGACTAGTCTAGTAGCATACCTTTGGACTTTTTCCAGCTTCGTCTTGTGCTTGACAAGGTACGGGCTCCATGCTGGGGCCGCATACTCCAGGATTGGTCTTACATATGTGGTGTACAAGATTCTGAATGATTCCTTACACAGGTTCCTGAACGCCGTTCTGATGTTAGCCAGCCTCGCATATGCCGCAGACGTTATTCTCTTTATGTGGGCTTCAGGAGACAGGTTTGGTGTGATATCAACTCCTAGATCTTTCTCTCTGTCTGTTTCATTAAGTACTTCATCTCCTATTCTGTATCCTGTGCCTGGCCTCCTGTTTCCACTGCCTAGTTTCATTACTTTGCATTTACTCGGGTTGAACTTCAACAGCCATTTGTTGGACCATTCACTCAGTCTATCCAGGTCATCTTGTAGCCTCCTACTATCATCCTCTGTTTCAATCCTCCTCATAATTTTTGCATCGTCGGCAAACATTGAGAGGAACGAATCTATACCCTCTGGGAGATCATTTACATATACCAGAAACAGTATAGGTCCAAGGACTGACCCCTGCGGGACTCCACTTGTGACGTCTCGCCAATCTGAGACCTCACCCCTCACACAGACTCGTTGTCTCCTGTTGCTTAGGTATTCCTCTATCCACCGGAGTACCTTCCCTCTCACTCCAGCCTGCATCTCCAACTTTCGCACTAGCCTCTTGTGTGGCACTGTATCAAAGGCTTTCTGACAATCCAAAAATATGCAGTCTGCCCACCCTTCTCTTTCTTGCCTTATTTTTGTTGCCTGGTCGTAGAATTCAAGTAACCCTGTGAGGCAGGACCTGCCATCCCTGAACCCATGTTGATGCTGTGTTACAAAGTTCCTTCGCTCCAGATGCTCCACTAGTTTTTTTCGCACAATCTTCTCCATCAGCTTGCATGGTATGCAGGTTAGGGACACTGGCCTGTAGTTCAGTGCCTCCTGTCTATCCCCTTTCTTGTATATCGGGACTACGTTAGCTGCTTTCCAAGTATCTGGCAGTTCCCCTGTTGCCAGTGATTTGTTATACACTATGGAGAGTGGTAGGCTCAGTTCTCTTGCTCCTTCCTTTAGAACCCAAGGGGAGATTCCTCTGGGCCTATAGCCTTCGTCACGTCCAACTCTAGTAAACACTTCCTTACTTCCCCACTGGTAATCTCAAACTCTTC